GTACTAGCATGTTGTTCTAACATATCACATAAATCAAATAATCTGTAAGGTATTTTGGGGTCTACTTACTCGCTACGACTGATCATCCACTTGCATCCTCCTTTAGTATTTTGAAAACCATTTAAAAAAATCATTTTAAAATCTTGTCCTCAGTTTGAGATTGGATACACACGAGTGTTTCCTCCAATTCACTCAAACCAAGGCTCTGATACCAACTTGTAACATCCATAAAAATCATGCCGAATTTAAACTTTTTAAAACATTTCAAAACCAATAATTATTACAAAACTTGTTTTCAAAATAGTTTAGTGTCATAGTATCCCAGAATCAAATCATGAAACATAAGGAGGTGTACGATCACGCCTTCGCCTTACCACGATCATTAGAAGTACCTGAAACAAAATCAACAACTGTAAGCCTGAAGCTTAGTGAGTTCCCTCAAAATACCAACGTCATACAGATATAACCATATCATATAAACAAACACAACATGCATAATGAGCCATCAGTCTGACTGGACCGCCTAACAGGCCATCAGTCTATCTGGACCGCTCTCCGAGCCATCGGCACGTCTGGACCGCCTCTCAGGGCCTTCAGCCTATCCAGACTGCTCGCCGGGCCTTCGGCTTGACTAGTATGCCCTAGCTGGGTCTGCAGTCTATCCGGTCCGCCTTGGTTATCTTAGCCTACATCACAAAGCAGGACTTGCCTCAACCCAATTCCCCCAAACCAACAAACATGTGCACATAAATATCATACGCTAGCTAGCAAGTATAGATAGTCATACAGATCTAACAGATCAATAACATGGAAACCATCCTATAACCAGGATAACGATCTAACCGATCACTAACATAGCAACCATCCTATAACCAGGATACCGATCTAACATATCACTAACATATCAACCATCCTATAACCAGGATACCGATCTAACAGATCACTAACATATCAACCATCCTATAACCAGGATATTGATCTAATAGATCACTAACATAGCAACCATCCTATAACAAGGATACAAATCATAAAGGGCCGGCCTTGGTGCCGTAGACCCTGTTGATATAGTGAGAAGAACTCACTTCACGATGTCGAACTGTAATGATAAGATCAAACTCCCGAATCACTGTCACGAACTCAACCACCTATAACCACCATAGAACCAAGTATATCAGAATCCCAAATTACCAAAATACCTTCAAAAGTCCAACTGGTCATCCCTTGGTCAAAGTCAAGGTGAACGGTCAAAGTCAACAGTCCATGTTGACCCGACTCGTCAAGTGCAGCTAGCAACTCGTCGAGTTCCTTAAGAACTTAGGAATCATCAAAACCCTAATTGACTCGACGAGTTTCTAACCAACACATCGAGTCCATGCGTGTCCAAATGTCGGGAAAACCCTAACTGACTCGTCGAGTCTTCCTACTGACTCGCCGAGTTCATGCGGGACCAATACATGAAATCTTCATCCGACTCGTCGAGTCGGCTATGCGACTCGTCGAGTCCCTTCAGCCCATTTCTTATCCGGACGTTTTTAAGCCACCCCAAAGCTCCATATTGCAGATCTAACCTCCTAGGGCATGGTTTCCACGTAAAGTTGCAAACTTTACGTACATGCATGGTCCTAAATGCCAAAACCAAGCTAAGGTAAAGGTTTAACCCAAAGAGAAAGGCCCAAGCTTGCTAAATATGATAACTTTATGGTTATAGGGACTTATAGAAGTCCAGATCTGAAGTTACAACTTCATATCATGACCAATACCCAAAATGGTTCACATATATGCTAAAATGGCTCTAAACTTAAGCATGGAGAGATCTAGCTAGAGGGAAGTCAAGGTAACGACTTGTTACCTTCAAAATGATGCCAAGATGAAGTAGAGTCAGATATGCAAGCTTTTCTTTGCTCCAAGCTCCTTAGACTTCAAGCCTTCTTCACAAAAACCACTTTCCAAGCTCCTTCACACAGAAAAATGGAGGGTATTCGAGATTAGGGTTTTCTGGACTCAAGGGGGACGGTAAGGGAGGCTGAGGGAGGCTAATGACCCTTTAAATAGGATGCAAAACCCCGGAAATTAGGGTTTCATTTTCCAGCTCCTACTCGTTGATTCAGGGTCCTCCGACTCGCCGAGTAGGTCCAATAATCCAAGCGGGCTAACCCGCCTCTACACGACGAATTG